CCCCAAAACCCCAAAACCCCAAAACCCCGCTTTGTCACTATACAATAAATTTAACTTTTTTAGATAATTTAAGAATTTAAATACTAATACGTTTGTTTTTATCAATGTGAATGTAATTTTTGGCTTATTCAAATAAGATTTTTGTTCAGTTGATTCTTGAATTAAATATGTGTTTCTACAAAAACTCACTCTTTCTACGATTCATCTATTGATAAGGATCTTCTTCATCGTCTGCATCATCACTTTCATAGTGTTGAGTAATTTCTGTAGATTACTCTATTAATTGCTGCTAATTAATCTCATTCTAAGTCCATCGTCTGTTATTATTAGTGCTGCTATTAGGTTCAATATTATGAATGTAATGCAAGAACGGCCTATTTCGATAAATTTGAAGAGAATTCTACTAAATTTATGCTTCATTGTCTTCTTCGTCAGAGTTATCATTTTCATCAAAATTTGCTCTTTCATATTTATTTTCATCAATATAATCTTGATTACTTCTGTTATTATTCAAATCCTCGACTATCTCATCATTCTCTAATTCATTTCTATATTCTTCATCATCAAAGCTATCACTATCAAAATATGCATGGGTATGGTGATATTCAAAATCATCTCTTTCATAATCCAAATGATCATAGTTATTGATACTGACTCTGTTGTTTAAAGCATTACTATCTCGCCTAATACTCTAATCAACATTTTGACTATCATTATCCTCGATCTATGATGGCTATTCCCGATAACTTATAAGTTCAGACCAATTTTCCTTTATTTTTTTGAAGCATAGAATTAATCCCAGAATTAATATAGTAAAAAATGATATGGATGCAATAGTGATAACTATCAGAACGTAAATCAATATATTTGTGAATGGATCATAAATCTAAGTACAGTCATTAACTATTTTAGAATAGAATATCATTGTTATCAGACACTCTACAAATAAGAATGGCCCGCAGAACAAAAGGCAAAAGCCCTTCATTACATCAACTGAGCTCTATACCATTTTATCGAATCTAAGAGAAATAATCCTTTAGCTTGGAGGTAGTAGTTCGTTTAATGCCTCTCTCTGCCTTTGAGTTTAGTTCTCTTCAACATAGTTGCGAGCTGTACCAACTGAAAATGAGATGCATAGAAAGAAAAATATCAAGTGGCATAAAAAGCTTTGTTTCCAGCCAACATAGGGTAGACAGTCATCCCTTTGTTCAGGAGTAAGTTTATTGAGATTCATTTAAAGATCATAGACGGACTTGCAACAATAAAAAATACAAACAAGGGAGAACACATTAAGTGCTAGCATGCAAATCCCTTCATTCCCTGGTTATCTCTGACTCTATCTTCTCATTAATTATAATCTTCATTTTAAATTTAACCTAATTATGCAAAAATTAGACCACTTGGGGTTTTGGGGTTTTGGGGTTTTGGGGTTTTGGGG